TAATTTGTCTAAGGATGTATTGTTTATGAAGACTCTGGCAATTTTTGAAAACATATAGTGTTGAAATTCAATTTGTATATAACATATCAGATTTAAAATTAATGACTACGAAATTTCAGTCTTCTGAATGTTTACGTATGATTGAAAGGCTTTAAGGAGAATATACGTGCTGGTGAATATTTTCCTAAGTGGCTGTGCAAGAATATAATTACGATAGTTGGAAGCTCAATCTAATTCCATTCAGGTAAAAAGAGACCATAAGTTAGTCATTTTCAATAAACTGCCCTGGTGGTAGTAATCTACCAAAAACTGATCAGATTCCGAATGCTTCGAATGAGAATAAATTGTTAAATAAATAATAAAAACAACAGAAGCTCTGCAAATAAGAGAAGGCAATTCGACTTTTCCCACTTTCTTTCATCAGTAGATAATCATCTCGATGGCACATATACCCTTTGTATTTTTACATATTTTTAGAACTTAAATTTATATTTATTTATATATTTATATTTGAAAAGATTAGAACCTCATGTCTAATATTTGATTTGGTTATTAATTACAATTTTACTCATTTCATTCAGATATTTTGGTTCTACTGGGGGTAACAACTATTTCGATTAACGACAGAATAACTTCAGTTAAGAACTGAATTATCATAGCACTTACAATATGGAAATATCTGGAAATTTCCGAAGTGACTATGATAAGAAACACTGAAGATAATGTTTTAATATAACGATATGAAATTTTAAAAACAAACGAAATGTATGCAGTCTATTTCAATTGTTCAGTAGTTTCGATAATTAGGAGGAATAACACTCATACGATTTTGGGATGGTGGAGAACCCTTCACTTCTACTTGAATTTTATGCTGATGATGTCATTCAGAAGAACGATGAAAACTCCATGATCAAACCATCCAACTCACAGAACAAATCTCATTTTGTATACCTGATTATATTTAAAGCTATTTGTTGAACTGAATATTTTTTCTCAGTTCTTTCAATCGACTGTAATTCAGTTCTTAAAAGTAAAATGATTTAAATGATGGAAACCTCATTAGAACGAATTCTGTGAGACAAATTATCATAACAAGCATTTAAATTGATTTGTCAGCTACAACGTATGACCAGGCACATATGTGCGTCGGTCCAAGTTACCATACCTCATTAGCACAACAAGATGAACACCGGATTGATAGGAGTAGTTAATTCAGTGGTGGTAATATATATAATTGCATATAAGGAGATAGTACAGGAAGAAACAATTAGTTCGTAGAAAGAAAGATATCAAGCGACTTTACTAGGTGAGATTTTGTCAATGTTATAAACTGAAATTTACATATATATATATATATATATATATATATATATAATGTATTATGAGACCACAATGTTCAATGACATTTTACAAAGACACACACATACATCTTTCGTATGTACACCTACACATATACGCACGACATTCTAAAACATTTTTTTTTTCAAATTATTCATAAGATGTACAATTCTGCACTTTATTATGTTGATTATGTTCACTGGTGTGTTAAAAACTTGTCAATCAAATAACTTCATTATTTCGTTTATCTAGAATTAGTACATTCACTTATCATAGAAATATTTGATAAAATATAGGTAAATTTAAAGCATAACTATTTCATTTATGCTAATCATAAATTTCCCTATTTCAAATCTCTTCTTACATCAGATGAAAAAAAAAGGAAAGAAATCACTGTAAACATACTACTTTTCTCAAATCTATTTCATGAAGTACATTTTAGATTGATCGTTTTAATAAACATATAAGAAAAATATTATTTAAAAAATTCTTTTCTGAAAATGTTGCTAATTGAACTTGGGACTATGAATAAAACTTAGTAAAGACAACTAACAAGTTCCTAAATCAATGAATGTTTATATATACCTATTTAGGGAATAAATCAATCATTTATATTGTTATATCCCGATAAGAATAATAAATGATAACTATTGGAATATATTTCTGGACTAATACTATACACATATTTTTATTGTATAATTGTTAAGTAACTAAACTATTCATATTCGTATTCCTTTTATTATAAGCTTTATTTTGATCCATAGACTATTATTATACGATTTGTCGTCCTTGAGTTATGCCTAGTTTATTAATTACAGTCTCCCACATTCACAGCCACCTTTAGTTAGATGTTGTACAAATGTTATTTTATAGTGCAATGTAGTCTGTTTGGTTTGAATATAAATCCAGTATGTTTGAAATATATGATTGATATCGCGAAAGCTGAGATTGGTGTTCTGGACTCAACAGGTAGAGCTAGGCAGGAAAAAGAACTGATAAGGACTGTAAACTGCTCGTATGGGTTTATGCGTCACTGGTCTGGTCGATAATTCACTGTTCTTTAATTGGCGGTATCATTACATTATAACTTAATAGGGCACAAGGCCACAAGTTATAACGTATATATAATATGAAATACATATTATCAAAAGTTACTTTTTATGCATATTCGATAGAGAATCGATTATCATTAACTGATAAATTCCAATTTTTAATGACTAATTAATCGTTTTATCCATATACTTCAATATTCTTATGCCTAACGCCCTACATTCAAAGCGTACAAAAGCCATGAAATTGAATGTTCATGTAATATCCCGAGTTTAATAAAATCTCAAGAAATGTGATCGTTTCCTTATTTATGAAATAATTGAAGATTCAGTTCAAGCATAATCAATATGTTTTGATTAGTGGACATAAGGTTGGTAAATTTTTATTTAAGCGCATTCATAGATAACCCATTTTCAAATAAAAGATCAATGAGATTATTGGTTTTCAAATGAAGCAGTCTATCACTAAGTGTCCAAATCACTAATTCATTTTAGAAGGCAAATGTAATTCAAGGGATGACTGTCAAAAAGGGGGAATTTTATTGTTACTCAATATCAAGATGTAACGCATCAATTGTCATGATAAAGAGTAGTAACAATAGGCGATCTCTCTGATTAAACCCTCGCAAGTAATAACACTTCCTTTAGCTGACCAGGATTTGACACACACATTTATACATCTCTTCTAGTATACCAAACCATCTCTTAGCACATATAACCAGGTTATGAGATAGCGAAATCTTGGAAGTTTTAATAAACCTTAAAGAATATCCTCTGAACGATATATGAGTCCCTCAGAATACAAAATGGCGAAGAACCACTTCTACGAAGCATCTATTTTGTCACAGATAAGTGAGTTATAGTCTCAAGAGTGAAAAAATACTCAATTAGGGTCTGATCAAGACATTGTATCGTTGTTTGGTGTAGGTCAATATGATTAAGAGAGAAAACAAATCAACTAGATGAACAAGACCCTATACCTTCAGAGTAAAGAAAAAACAGAAGACGTAACCTTGAAAGGGATGGTTATTAAAAGAAAGTTTACGTAACACTCCAGGAATTTTATTTGTACTCTGATGAAATCAACTACTGAGATAAGATCAATCCCTGAAGCAACCGCCCCTACATAATTCAGAGTCCATTTAATAATAATATCACCTTTATAATGATATATTATATAAATACACAATCATTGTTTGATGAACTGTTGCTATACTATATTTCTCGGATATATATCCATATCCATTACATTTAGACCACATAGAGCATTCAATGGTTCATTTTTGTATTTGAAAATTAATAGTCTATGATCGAAGACTACTGATGTTGTTTATATAGGACTGAGTGAATTTCCATAACTGTTGTATGTATGTAGCCCATGTTAACTGGTAAACGAAAAAACAACAACATACTCAATGATAAACGAAATCAGAAAAAGCGATCTGTTATATTATTTATATAATTAAATTCTACAAACAAGAAATATGAAGAATACATTAATAATTCTTTTCTCATCAGGATTTTAGAAGAGTAGACTAATAAGTGTAATATTGTCTCTTGTACATTCCTTCTTCATCAACTTTAGCAAAGACAACCGAAAAAAGAACACAACAACGACAATGACAATAACAGTTCGAAGTTGATGAAAAATATACAATCTAGAACAAAATAATTAAAACAATTGTACGATAGATTTAATACACACTTTATGATCAGTACTATTCATTGTGAATTACTCATTTATAATCACAAATAATCAGATTTTAAAAATAAGGAAAAACCAAAACAAATAAATGAACAAACATCAACATTAGAAAGTGATCACCATATGTGCTATATTAAAGAAAGGATACACACACACGCGCGTGGGCGCACGCATACACCAACACACATGCACACCAAAAGATAAAGGAGGTAGAGTGAAGTTGGTGATAGTTAATTGGAGCATATTACATGTAAATGAAAAAAGTACACACATAAGACATACACACACAGAGTTATATTTAAAAAAAGAAATAATTATTTAAAGATGATAAAATGATGTAAGATATTTTTGTGTAACGTGTGTTCACTCACTACTTTTTTTTGTATTGTTGATTAAAAATAGATTTCTCATGATATTATATAATAATGACAATAATTAATATGTACATAATGTAAGAAAAAATATTTTATATATAAGAAACAGATTAAAATCATGAACAAAAGGCACTAACACACATATAGGGTATATAAAAGAAACAAGAAAGATAACCACTGAGTAAAAGATTAATTAATGTACATGATATTATGTCACTGTTTTTACAATTCATTGTATGATTTTAAAAAAAACAAACAAGAAAGTGAATATTAACAGTAACAGTGGCAAACATTGTAATATGGCGCTATTTCCTTGACTTTCTAATTATTAATATTTAAAAAAAGGAACAAATAATACTTGATATAGGACAACATAAAAGTGTGTTAATCATAAATGTATTAAATATGATCAGGTCAAAAAATCTTTAGAATAAGAAATCACATTAAGATTTTCTAATACGGTTAAATGAGGAAAGGGTTATATGAACAGGAAGGAACAGAAGAGAATGATACAATACATGTTAGGACGATTTATTAATTGATAGAAAGACGTTTACTGGTAGAAGTAGTTGTAATAGCAGTAGTACAGTTAGTAGTAGTAGTGTTAAGTTTAACCGGTATGGTATTATTATTATTGTTGTTATGATTATTATTATGAATAACAGAAACAAGTGTTTTATTAGTCCGATTAGTTTGACAACCCGGTGATGATTTTGTATTGCCACTTTCAAACATTTCTTGTAATCTACTGACCATCAGTCTATTCGATGAGTTAGATAATGGTCCACGATGTGAGCTAGGCTGTGAGAAAGAAATTATAAGAAAAATGAAAAAAAAACTATTACTGTTAATACACACAGAAGTTAGTAATATTGGTTTTATGTTTGTTATTGCAACAACGACAATGAAAAACAAATAGGGTATTTACTTCAATCCATAACAGTAAACATGACTTATTGCAAATGATAATTCATGCAACAACACATCATCACACACAAAAAAGACAGTCAGTTCAGACACCTGTAAGTTGTTTGGTTAACTGGGTTAACGATTATATCACTGATTGTAAGTAAGGGGTTATGGAAAGTGTTGGATTTTATTGATATCATAAACAGATCAATACTGAATACCTATAGGCACTGAGCGGTCGTTTCGTCCCAGTGTAGGAATTCTCGGAAGTGCTCACACAGGAATCGAGTCTAAGACCTTCGGTCTCGCGCAAACGCTTAATCTCTAAACGACTGAATCGGTATTCAACGGTATTAGTATCTAATTTCAATCCGTGACCAGTGGAGCTAAACTGTACTGGGCGTGAGGCGATTACCTAACGAAGACAATGGAAGATGGTCGCGCAATTCCGTGGATTGATTAAAGTCGGACATTACTACCGCTGAATGCCGACCGAAGGTCCTGGACTCAATTTCTGCGTGAGGAGTCGCGAATGTGCACTTCTGAGGAGTCCTACACTAAGACGAAACGACCGTCCAGTGCTTTCAGATTTTCAATGTTTGTCTAATTTATATTAGTTCACGATCTCAATGATATTACAGATATTAGACTACCACCAGTACTATCATTAACAAAAATAATGTAAAGCATCTTTTAGTTAGTTACATCAATTCAAAGCTAATCATAATCAAATCAATCGATTTATTACTAACCAGTTTTTTATTGAATTTCTTTGGAGAAAATTATGCACTAAATTACATAATGAATAAACAAATAGACAGATGTTATTTATAACCAATCGAATTGACCAAACACAAAATAAAACATTTTAAAAGATATGCCAATAGGAAAATAAAATAATATTCAGTTGGGTTTGATTAAATTACTCCTACAAATACATGACAAGTGCACTATATTTTCTGGAAATTAATCAGTAAAGGAAATGAAAAAACAATTATGAAATATGCATGCTTCATAAATTAAAACTGCTTACTTTGGCAATATTAAACTTTCAAAGATAAACATTGGCAATGTACATAACAGTGAAAATGAGTAGAACTATGGATCAGTGGTTAATTTCTTCGAAATTTGAACATTAGGCTACTTATTCCTAACATCACTGTCCATACTGTTACATTATCAACCTTCATGAAATATGTCACTTATGATTGTTGATAGAGAGAAAGATTTACTCGTCTATACAAAGTTTATGTAAGTTATAGGCAGATTTGAAGATATTTATAACTGAGAACTGAAATCAACCATAGAACCATTAAAAATTAAGACATACTGAACAAATTTCTCTTATTCGATAACATTTAAAATGTCAGCATACGTGGACTTTATATAGGATTGAAAATAAGATGTTCAGGTTTCATAGTTGGCATGTTACAGTATGGGATCGAGATTGTAAACTTCTTGATAATAGAATAAATAGCTTCCTGGTTCTCAAGTTCTGAGATGAAAATTATCTTCAAGTTAATCACCATTAAACCATAAGCCACATAAACTAATCTAACTTCAGATGAGTACATTTATGGAGAGGAATGATAGACTTTTTAAAAAAAATCTTACTAAATCAGTTTCCGTACAACTAATGTAGAGATACTAATGAATCAATGCAAACACATCATATTCCTATGCGACTATTTAGTAATTATCACTGAGGTAAAATATGACAACTGTAGAGAATCCTATAGATTCATGAAAAAAGATAAAAATACCACTCATAAGATTTCTGTGTTAGATTCAGTTATGTACAGAGTAAATATAGGGTTACAGATAAAACATTGATAAATGATAATAACTTAATAAGTGAATAGTTTTTATGATGCAATCTAATGTATGCGGCAAATCAGGAAACTACCTACATATAAATTTGCGAGATAACTTTTTTAAATAGTGTATAAAAAAAAGGAATTTTGCAACCTATAATAACAGTAAAAATTGTAGGTAAGAATGAAGCCTTAAAAAAATTCGAATGAAAGAATTTGGTAAATTTCATACTGAAAAATTCAATTGTATTTAATGCACACAGTAAAAGGTTCCGTAGCTTGAAAATCTTATATTACAAAATAAAGTGAACAAGAATACTTCATATAACAGTTAGTGGTACACTGAAATGTTAAAAAGGCCCACCTGAAGTACCCAACAATGCAAGGATCAAGACTATAGAGGTGAAAATATATGGCATTGGAACCAAAATATATTTAGTGAAATAATTTATTAATGTAAATTATATATATATATATATATATATATATATATATATATATATATATATATATATATATATATATTACTATCCTAAGGTGGTAACATCCTCGGAAGAAATATGTATACAGATCGATGGTTGTTCGAGTAGCAAAAAAAGGTAAATAAAACTCCGTTGATTAACATTAACTATACATTTAGTAAAGAAAAAAAGTCATAATCAGCAAAAAAAAAACAAACTGATTAGCTGGCATTCAAACACATTACTAATAGGAATCCATTCTGATCTTAATTTTTATACATCAATGTTATACAGGAGATCTGTAAATATCATAATACAACTGTATAACTAAATTTTTTCAAGTTCTAATCCATATTACTGAAAAGAAGAGACAATCAATATTGAGTTATAAGTCAGTGTTTAATAAGTGAATACTGCGTTGATGTTCTTAAGCGAAAAGTAGACGGTTTGAATCCCGGAGAAAACATCGAACTTGGGATGAAGTTACGCCTAACTGACGAGTCCGAACGAGTATGAAACACGGGTTCGAAATCCTACTAATGGATGTTTTCTATTTACTCACTTTTAAGAAATTATGTTCTTACAATTTACCATGAAAATGCACATGCATATTCGAATGCTTATGCTATCAGTGTACTAATGCCTATTAATTACCAAAAGGAAATCGTTAATCAGAACACAAGCAGTCCCAGCTTGTAATAGAAGTATGCAGCAAATCAAGGTATACATTAATTTTAATGTCAATCAAACTAAATAAATAGAAATGTACATGTACTGAATATGTTTAAGGGTAATCAGAATAGGAGTTTCAGAAGACTTAGTTTTTGTCCAGCTCTCCAAATTAAAAGAAATATTAAATTATAATGAAAACTAAAAAAAAGAAAACAATATTGCATATGATTAGATAATTAAGATAGGAGTTTATGATAGACATAAAAAATAAAAATAGAGCACTCTATCTCTAACTTCCAGCTCCCTCCTCCTCCGTCAAGAATATACACATAATCAACTGACCTTTTCATTTGGATATCCATTTATCAAAGGACGATTAACACATGTTGTTTCAGTTAGTTGATTCATTCCTAAAGTTTGAAATCTGCGAACAATTTTCAAGTCAACCATATTGCCATTATTGTTAGTAGTAGTATTGTTAGTTGTTATGGAATTATTATTATTATTCAAAGGATTAGCAGTAATTTCTAATTCTTTAACTGCTCTAGAAACAGCCCCAAAAGATGAATAGGATTGTTTGGTATTAGTTTCGTTTGAAGACCTCAATGAATTAGTTTTATTGACAATCACCTCTTTATTAGTCAATTGAACAAAATTAAGACTTTTATTGGTAGTATTAGAAATGGTATCAGTAGTACTAGAAGCAATAGTATTGTTGTTGCTAGGAGTAGCAGCAGTGGTAGTAGTATTAGCGGAAGTAGAGGAAGAACTACCGGTTGACTTAACTGAAGCAGATAACTGGTGATCACTAGAAGAATTAACTTCATTCTAAGAAAATTAGAAGAAACGAATAGAAACATTTATTATACAAAGAATAAAAATCAACTCAATGAAATTATCTTTGTCAATTATACTCATTACTAAAAAAAGGTTTGTGTAGTGTTCAATTTCGTACTTCACATCATGGACTGATCTTAGAGAATTATTGAAAGCACTGGAAATATGCTTCATTCAAGAAAGAAATTCAACAATCCTCAAAAACTCTCCTCCCATAGTAATAGTAACTGTACTCATTAGAGACTAGTTTCGAGAGGTGATTCTTGGAGTTCTAGTAAGAAGCTTTGACCAGTAAAGTTCAAGCACATCGAATGTGAGGCAGGTAAACACCAATGACACTGGATGATGAATGAATGCAAACTAGTTAGTTACACATGTAAGCAAGTAAATATCCCCTCAGTGATCCAAAGGTTAAGCACTTATCACAAGGTCTGAGGATTCGCGGTTCGAATGTTAGTGGGGGTCAGTCCATGATGTAGACGATGGAATCAATAATACTATTTTATCAAGTGTTTAGCTAAGCCACGAATTCCATTTGATTCAGTGCTGAACATAGAATCTTTTACAAAAGTGGCTTTCAAGGCAACACTTAAAGAATGTTAATCCAGAACGTCTAGATCTTATTTAACATCGTTTAAGATAATAACAAAAGCTGGTTAACACTTAGTCAAAATTATCAACAACAGGATAATTCGAATCCCTTTTGATGGTGTTGTGGTGTATGCTATTTATGTTGACAGATATCAGTCGTATGTAACACAGTCAAAAGAGGAATTCAAATCAGCAGAAGGCTATGAAGGTCAACTTGAAGAAAACAGAAATGGAAATAGAAAGGTATTGTGAATTGGAAGAATCATACAGAATGTGAAGGACAAATGGTGGGATTTTGCAGATGAAGTATTCAATGTATGGTTCTCATATTTTACCACGAGATTATGTAATTTTGTATTGGACAGTTAACTGGTCGTCCCCGCCTGTGCTTTTGTTCGTGACAATATTAGTAATGTAAGATTATACCCCTTCCATATTACATAATCAATCTAGGAATCCTTTTGGTAAACTGAAATGCAGAAATTTAATTATTTGACTGAAGAGTTTCATTAACGGATTATCGACTAGTGTAGTCCATTTTGCTAAGATTAGTATTTTTGAATAATTTTTTAATACCTTTATCATTTTCACGTTTTAATTTATTTATAGATTTAGTTAATCAACGAACTGAATTTGAATTAAATAGTTCGTGTTAGTTGAAATAAATGATTTATTTGTAAACATGGATTCCGATAGTTTCAGCAATGAAGAGTAGACGAACACGTAAACCAAGTGGTAAATTTGGCGAAATATAGTGGATAACCTTATATGTTGTAATTATAGGAATCCATGTTCACAAACCTAACTTTTGCATTCAAAAGAAGTTTATACAACTGCTTTTCTCTCATTTGGTAATCGGTATACAAGTAAGTTTTAGATGAGCTTTGATCAGAAAACTGTTTAATTTAATTCATTTTTGTATTGGTTGTTTGAATCTTTCCATTGATGTTTAAGACTGTAATTAATCAGTTTTTTATTGGTATATGTACGGATACATTCAACTGACGAGTCTCAATTAAGACGGGACGAGCGTCCTGGATTCTACTACTAGCCACCATCCATTTCTGCTTATAATTTTCTAATTTTTTCCATGTTTATATCTTTACATATTCTCAACATCAATCCTCTGATCCTTACATAATTAAAATAACTTATTATTGAATTTAATATCTTGAACAATTTAAAATGTATTACACTCACTAAAATATGATGTGTTGAAGTAGTGACATGTCCAGTTGCAGCGGCAAATGCTGCACCTAATCGACCAATTATATTATTTTGCAAGTTTACACGCCAACTACCACTAACAGTACTACTATTATTAGTAGATTTGTTTGAAGTAGAATCTGATAATGTTTTATCATTTGTCAAATCATTGAATACTTTTGAATTGATATTTGTACTCGAATTATTGTTATTATTACTATTATTATTGATTTTCTTAATAATTGGCGAGGAACTAGTCTTAGATACAGTATCGCAAAGTGAATTGCGTGGATTCAACTTTTTTACACTGTCAATTGGAATGGAGTAATCTGATAGGTTATCACTATTTCTTTGTTTATCTAGATTTTCAGCGTCTATAAAATAAATTTTAAAAAATGGAACCGATTAGTAATATAATGATGGATATAAGAAAAAAACACTCAATAGAAAATTATTAAATCTATAACTATAAAAACTGATACTGTAAAACCAAGCTGTTATATCTAGAGCCTAGATTCTCAATATACCGCGTATAATTTGAGCACTCGAACGTTGTCCTAGCACAAGCATATGATAAGAATAATTGAAAAGACAGCTATAATTGATAATATAGGGTTTTTATAAAAAATGTAGAATTTCACACATCTACCAAATAAGACACAATGAATAGTTAATAAGCAACGATTATGAAAAGAAACAATATGTTGCTTGATTTGAAGCAAGATTTCTTGAAGCCAAGAATGTTGTTTAGCAAGCTTGTGTTTTTTTCTCTTTAATAATGATCGTTGTGTGAAAGTGTATGATAGCTTTGCGAAGGTATATGTTTATAACTAAATAAACATGTATACTGATGAAAGTGTACAAACATTTGATACTTCTCAATTTCTTGAATATAGAAATTATTAACTTGAATTTGATTAAAAATAAAACAGGCTAGTATTGCGTAACTTTAGAGTTATAAAAATACCAGATTTAGGGCAGTGATTAAAGATAATGTTTACAGTTCATATTCTGATTCACGAAGCTGAACAATCTAAATAATCACAATGAAAAGTGTAATTACATATTGAACCATCGAAAGGCAATTATTTAAGCAGTTTTCCATGGTATTATTATGTAGGATGAGAATACACATAAAAGTATGCTTCATTGGAGTGTTCACATTCACAAGCTCAGTGAAGCATAAAGGCACCGAGATCAGTTCGAGTTACTAATTGAATTTTATTCACTTATTGACTTATACATTCATCCAATAATTACAGCCAGTCACATCAAAGCGTTTTAAAATTGTTTGTTGAAGAAATTTTTACGTTTCCTAAGAGAGGCGGTAGATATTGATGGCTTTTGAAGTTCCAAAGACCACTTTTACGATAATTACTTTGCAAAAGAGAAAATACTAACGATCTATAGACAATATTCTAGGGTCATCAAATATTTTACTAACCAGATATACAAATTTAACAATAGACTGCTATCATGATAATTATTACTTAGAATACGACAGTAACTACTTTTAATCTGAGACATTTCTAACAGATATTCCCGATAAAGCAAGACCATAAAGAAACAGAAGATCTCATTAACCCAAAATAAACTTGATAGTTGCGATGAGTAAATCCAACTGCTATACAAAGAGAATAGCTGTCAGTTGCAATATATAATCAGTCAGTTGATTGTGATGTACTTACGCTTCTTGAAATTAACCGACAACGATGTACTTCACGTGAACAATGAGAGCTTAGTTGTTAACCTCAAAATAAAATAAGGAAAGTTTATAAAACAATGAATATCTGTATGGGGATTTGTGACGATTGTGATATTTTGAAAATTGAATTCACGAGTCATTCTAAACTAGATCACGATTGGAAACCTGGAAGCACTGAATGACTGTTTAATCTTAGTATTGGACTACTGAGCAGTGCGCATTCACAGTCCCGTATACCTCGGACAATAGATAAAGGGTTGCGCAAGATCATGAATCGATTTAAGTTAGACATTAATACCATTGAATACCGGCTCAGTGATCTATAAGTTAAGAATCCACACACGAAACCGAGTGTCCTGGGTTCGAATCTCGCGTGCGGAATCGCGGATGCGAACTGTTATGGAGTCCCATACTAGAACGTAAACGGCCATCCAGTGCTTAAGTTTTCAATGGTGGTCTAGCTTAAATTATATATATATATATATATATATATATATATATATATATATATATATATATATATATATATATATATATATATATATATATATATAAGCTAATTATCAAGAATGTTAGTAGTGTATCGAAAATATGCAATAAAAGTGCGGTAGATAATTTATCTAAACATTGGATACAAGTTAATTAAGTTGTTTATTAACTAACAATAATACCAAAATCAAAACAACTGATTTACACATTTCAAAATATCATTTAAATAATAAGAAAAACAGAAATTTCCTAGTTGAATATTCTATTCGAGTTTAAAGAATTTCAATACTACTACTACTACTAATAATAATAACAATAATAGTAATAATGATAACAATAATAACAATAATAGTAATGATAAATAGAATATTGAAAAGAAGGAATACAGTTTAGTGAAAATGATAAAACGAGGCAGAAGTTAATTGGATCTAACTTAGAAAAGAAAAATAAACATAACATGTTATTTTAAGAAATAATAATGACTCAATTATGGTGGTAACTTAATAAGAAATACAAAAAAATTGTTTATTTCACCTCCAACAACGAAAAAAATTTTTTTCTTTTCATTGAACAAAATTAAGTGGGCGGTATATTTCATAATAGAATATTTAAGACAATTATATACAGTTATAATGTTTATATGAAATAAGAATACCTATTCAATTCGTTTTATTTTAATTCATGTAGTGAACTAACTTCAAATTATACCTAAATACTGTTAAACATTTCGTTCAGTGTTAATTATTGAATTCAATGTAAAATACTACATTAACTAGTCAACATTCACTATTGAGCCAGAAATTTGAAAGAAGTTGGCAGGAAATTATGTAAATAAATTCTATGCTCCTAACTATTTATAAGTGATATATATATATATATATATATATATATATATATATATATATATATATATATATAAGATTTAGTATAATGAATCCTCGTTCCCATCTACCGATAGATTCGAACCATTGTCGTCAAGTGATCATATCAAAATTTTCACCAATTTGGCAATTATTCTACAAAACTAGCATGATATTAGGGTTTAGACAAGAAATTATCTGTAAGTATTCATTGGTTAAGTGAATCCCATAAATAGCTTAATCAACACTGAGTTTTTCAAATGCAAAGTAGAACCTGGTACATGTGTACATCCGTTCAGGTTGCGCAACTCCATTAGCACAGTAAAATGTAATTATCGAAAAAATCCTAGAGTAATACAGATAATAACAGTTTAAGTGATGGTAAAGAAGTTTATACATGAAAGATACGATGCGGAAAGAGAATAGGGATTAGTGGAATAAAAAAATCGTGCGATGATAGAAAAACTCAGGATATAGGGGAAGAAACAGAGTGAATAAAACCCTGTGATTGTAATCGACTTTGAGCCGCATCAATAAAATTCCAACCATTAGTGATGGTAATCAAACTAACCGCAACCATGTAGTCCGTGTCTACCCATATGGCTCAGTTCAACAATCAATGTCTTGATAGACTGATATCGTGTCATATATTGGCCATCCCTACTTTCTTCCCAACCTACTCATACATTAACAATCATAGCGCATCGAAGAAGTCGGTGGGTTTTGTACATATAAAAAAAGAGCAATGTGCTGGGCAGAACATTTGTTCTTTAGATAGCAAATGAATATCTCGTCTACCCCAAAAGTGACGTAAATCGGCAAAAGAAAACCGGGCTTCCTGACTACGTGTACGAATTTCGACCGACAGTAACACTAGTTGACTAGGAAAAAAAGTGTAGTACAATGGGTATACAAGCCGAAATTGTTGAAATTCAGGGAGATTTTTTAAAAATAGCCTTTTCATAAGAAAAAGATAGGTAGAGTGGAAATAATAATCAAATAATTAATTTTTAGTCTCATTCCGAACATCACTTCGGATTATGTAGGCCGTGAATCGTACACTTTCAAATGCTTACTTTGGGAGTTGTTTACATGGGAGACAACAGAAGATCCAGAATTCGTTGAGCAAGCACTGGTGTTTGTTTTGAAAGTTGATAGATTTTTTGCTTGTAATACGTGGTTTATGACTGTGACTTTTTCATTTTTTATTATTTTAGTACCACTTTTAATGTTATTCCTGTTCTGATTTAATTCTTTTTTACAAAACTGTTTATTTTCAAGCGTTTGATTTGATGAAGATGATTCAGTCGTAAATTTGTCCAATGGCACTGTATTTTGAACTTCGTTAATAACAGAACTATCTGGCAAAGAAAATCGTACCCTATCATTTATGCCAACAGAAGATAATGGTGATGTAGGCAAAGACGGAGACTTCTATGGAAAAGAAAACAAAACAACGAATGCTGCTGATTAATGATGACGATAATGATTAAAGGAAGCATAAAATATGAGTGGACTAATTAATGGCATAAGATGTGGAAATTCTGACACGTCAGGAGTTAGGTTATACAAGTTAAGGACATGTACTTAGTAAATCCATGGAATGTCTTATTTTGGTGTTGAGCAATTTAGATCAAACATTAAATCCTAAACTTAGAATTGTTCTCTTGTTGGGATGCATTAACCAAATGACTACCTAGAAATTAAAATGTATTCTTTAGTACCTTATTCAAAGAATTTGATAGTTAAGCATTGTGTGTGTATTGAGGACTATCTTCTACACGAATGGCTTACTTAAATAAAAGTTACAAAAATTGTACTGATGTTCACTGCAACAAGATATCAACTGGATAAATTCAACACATAGTATTTTACTTATTAATCATGTTCACTTCCAAACCTACTAGAATTATAAGCAAAGATGGATAGTGGCTAGTAGTGGAATCAATGACTTACGTTTCGTCCTATTTACGAATTAAGGCAATATTGAGGTAATACGCACAGTATGCACATATGCCAATAAGAGACTGATCAATCGTAGTCCTAAACATCAATGGGAAGATTCAAGTAAACAATACCAAGTAAACCCACTAGAATGTTTACTGATTATATCTATTTCATTAGCTGTAGTAATATATATTTAATTATCATTTAAAATAACCAAGTATAGAGTTAATTCTTGTAGACATTTATCTAAATGATCAACATTTTCTGTATGCACATAGAATAAATGAAATACTACTTTAATGAAACACTGGTTTATTTATCATTTCAAAAAAAAAACATTCTTGAACTGATATGGAACAAGAATAAACAATGATGTCAGAATAAAATGAACGAGATGATACGAAAAATGGAGATAAAGTTAACAGATCATTGTCTTACATCTTGCTCTTCTGTATTGTTATTATTGCTATTCAGAGATAAGACACTGGTATTTGGATTGGTAGCTATAAAATGTCGTAAACTGGATAATTTTTCTCTGCTTATTAAGCTATCCCGTCGATAATTGGACTGCTTATTATCTTTAGGCTTATATGAGAGAGGAAACAGAAAACAAGAAAGACTAAATTTTAAAAAAATGATTAAAATAAACAATGCATATATGGTCATAATAACAAGAACAATGAAACCCGTTAATTAACCAACTAATCATTACGAATAAAAAAAACGTGGATAAAACAATTTATATCACTCAGTAGTTAGTATACAATTTAATACAAAAGATTAAAAGTTAAACAAAAAATTTCCATTAACAGTAATATACATGAATCGATGTAATGTCAAGTTATTCAAACTCTTTGACTATAATTCAACTTGATTGACAGAGTTCTATCAGTATTAAGATAAATTAGACAAATGTAATATTAGTCACTATTCATTCAGTAAATAAATCAATATCTTAACTATCCTACATATTTAGTTAAGATTTCGTGTATTTCAATGAACTAACTCGAAATCGGACTAGAATACCTTAAAATGAGTTTTCACTTACAAACATCAGAAGATTTTATTTAAATACAAGAACTGAAGTAGATATGTATATGTATACTATATTGTGAAATAATTGTATTTAATGAATGATATGATTAAACAGATAATACGATGATCAAATTGAAATATTGGATTATTCACGAAAAAGAAAGAACAGTTAGTGAACCAAGAAAAATTATTAGCCATGTGCATAAAGAAAAATAAGTTACAAAGACGTTACACGATTGAAATACATTATTTAATGTAAAAGCAGAAACAGCCGAATTACCTAATTACTTAGACGTACAGAGTAAATAACACTGGGCGGGGGGTTCTTTTTACAGAATATAATGAAATAATAGAAAGATACAGTAGACGGTGGTAAACAGGTTTATTCACTATATAATAAATATCAAAGTCAATAAATATAGTCGATCTACAAGTAGTTTGTTCTGTTTAAACTAAGTGAATTTTGCTGACTTGCTTATCCAATGATGAAACATCGCTGTTTCTTTTTTTTAAATAACCAAATTAAAGCATTATAACATTACGTCATAAGTGTTGTTTCTTTTGTGGAGATAATACTGAAAAATTGTTTCTTTGGTTTATTCAATTTCTTTAAGCAATAAAATGATATCAGTGTATATGAAGCGGAATAATGAAATATTTTTTGAAGGGGAATGAGGAGAGTAAAAATTTCCATTTTATTTTACTTAAATTATCTATACATTGACTACTCTTAGTTGGTCTCTCTGACAAACACAGACGATATTTTAGTTAATGATCACATCATGTTCACTTAGAAATATCTTGTTTTCTTTGTACTCATAACCAAAACAGATGATGATTTTTTTTCTGGGAATAAGCAATATATAGTTAAAAATAGGGAAGTATGAATAGAAAGGAAAAAATCAATTGAAATCTAACACACACAGTATCATTTACCTACCTGACTACATGTCAAATCATATGGATCTTAATGAGAAAAACATAGAAATAAGAATAATATTGGTAGTAGATCATTCGACACTGATATTGGTAACTCATCAGTGTTTTCTTTTCTTTTTCGTTTTTCTCTCTTTATGGTATAAAAATTTTTTCTATTTAATTTTAGAAAGATAAATGGAAACAGTTGTCAAATAGTAGTTTTGTTAAACAATTATTTCATGTTTATTGATAATTGAACCTGCGAATAAACTGATATATTTCCACATGCTTGAACCGAACACGATCATAGGTATATGTTGAAGATGTGATCGATTCATCATAAATTATATAAATATAGGGCTATATCATACGCATAGATCATTCAGTTGAAAAATAGTTACTATCAAACTATATAATCTTTGACAAGTATCGGATATTTTACCGACCAGTAATCTTGTTTTGTTCTTTTTTGAATCTAACAATTTAAATTATTTTTCAAGTGGATAATTCTTTTTGTAAAATTGTCAAAGTTACATGTTTGAATGGCAGGATTGAAGGTGGATTTATATTCTATAGAAATTGTAAAGTCTATCACCAAAGTTAATTATTTTAAGTAGTGATTAATTTATTTCCCGATTCTAATAAAATGTAAAATTTCGAAGTTTGCTTTGGTCTTGAAAGATACTCAGTTGTTGATTAGTGATAAAAGTTAACAGAACTATGCGACGATCATATACTACAAAAAAAACAACTGAATTATGCTTCAAAAATATAGGCCAAATTACAGAGTTGTGGTTCATTTGTTCTGTAGAAAATTCAATTATTTGAGTTTATTTGTCAAATTACTGCTAAACAGTGTAAATACCCCTAAATACTACATAAATTCCTTAATTTACGAATACTTAAGCTTCAAAACTAATCATAATCGAATCTATTAATGTCAAACCATAAGTCCTGGGTTTGAATCTCACGAGGCGGGATCGTGGATGCGCACTGCTGAGGAGTTTAACAATTGGACGAAATGGCCGTCCATTGGTCTAGCTTCAAATGACTCATGATCTCAACTATTGAAGTTAAACTATTCAGTTAATTTTTATTCTTTTCGTTCATAGTTTGATGAAAATGACTATTTTTACCGATTTCATTTTCTACTGATATCAACTTAAACATATTTATTCTATAAACAAGAATTTTTACTTAGATAATTATTCACTTTCAAAAGAGTAACATATTCTAGACGGTTATTCAAATAAGGATGTTTATTGTTTTGATCAGTAGGATATTTTTCACATAGTGAAGAATTTAATTTAAATCTTAATAAGTACATTACAAATTAGCATAATTTATTGTATACTGGTGTATAATATAGGAAATATATATTAACCACTACCTAGGTATTCTGTATACATTTAAAAGATAGAGTTAACTTCAATTTCTTTGGGTGTTTTTTTATCAGAAGTTACATGTCAAATTTTGTTAAAAAGTCACTTATTTAGTATATTTCTGTTGTAGCAAGTTGCTATTCCTTAGGGTTTCTGTAACAAAACTTTATATTAAGTCAGATGTAAAATGTATTTTAATATATGCTTTATGCATTTCTCGACTTTTACGGTCCAAAATATATTGTTTAAGATGTATATTGGAAGGTGTAGTTTTTATAATGGCAATAGAATTGTGTATAAATATCAATAACGAAACTTGACTGAATAGTTTGAAACAAACTAAGGCTAGGGATGTTTCAGAGAGAAATAGTAGTATCATATTCTCAAAATCTCATAAAAATAGGGGGATGGATGCGTAACATCATGAAATATTTTGATCAAATAATTCATAAAATTTACAAAGAAGAATTTAATATTCCACACACTTGGGACATATCGCCAGATGATCATAATACGCACCCTAATTACAATAAGATTACATGTATACCATCAACAAAATGATTGGTTTCCACTATGAATCTTACATTCAACCATACCAAAACCAAAGTGGATTATCACTTTTAACTTTAAAGATGTGGTGCAGTTAAGCTTTATCCCTTAATTGAATAAATGTCACTGTTATTTTTGTGTCTTTATGCCCGAATAATTGTATCACGAGATACGATCGCCAATTAGAGACACAGACTTATACGACCAGACCAATGACTTATATACCTATACGAGCAGCCTAGAGTTCTTATTGTTCCACCGAAAAACAGCTCCTCTCCTAACCCTGCCGGTTTATTCCAGAACGCCAATACCAGCCCCCGCCATACGGACCATATATTTCAGATATGCTGGGTTTATATACAAACAAAACAAACAGCATCATACCAGAAGTAGAAAATAGCAATTATACAAGATCAAGCCAAAAAGTGTCTGTGATTGTGAAAGCTTGTTACTAATCAATTGGGAATATCTCAAGAATAGTAAATTGTATGATAATAGTCAATAGTTCAAATAAAAGCTTATAATGAAAGGAATATGAATATGCATATAATATAGTTGCTTAATAGTCATACGATAAGAACATTTGTATAATCTTAGCCCATAAGTAATTTCTAATGGTTACCGTTCATTTATTCTTGTCCGGATATAACAGTTATTACATTGTTACTTAAGTAGATGCATTATTCACGTGTTTGAAGTAGCGGCTTCTATGAAGTTGTTAAGTAAACGAAATATTAACCTACGTATTGCTGGTATCTTACAATTACATTATTTCTATGATAAAATAATTTTTATCCGTGTGAATTACTCAATAACTATACAGGCATGATATAATTTCATAGACTTATTTGTTCATTTGCTTCCTGAGATGATTGTTTTTATGTTACATATTAACACTTCCTTATGAAATCCCAGGCATTAGATATTGTTGGTGAAATAGTAAATATGAGAAAGGTAAATAATATTGCTCACTAGATAGATTAAATGAAAAATGGATTTCCGAAAAAAAAAAACCGTACTGGCTATTTATTTACTGAATTTCTGATATGAAGACAATTAAATTAAATCCATAAAAGAGATATAAAAAGTAAACAATGCGTACTTGGACGTGTAATATACGTTAAGGCCAGCAATTATTGTAGAACGACTAAATCATTCAAAATTAGCTCATATTATGCTAATTTGTGTTAATAGTGAAATATTTTCAATATCTGAAATATATATGGCACAGGAATTTCTTCTCTTTTACTCAATGGAAGTTAAACATAACTTTTGAAGATAAGTGATAATCCAAATCGACATTTATTCAACATGGGATATTTTCATAACACATTGTTTTCTATTCATGCCAAAGTTTCAACTTATAATCAAGAAAAAATGATCCACTGTTATATAAATATAGGACAAAAAAACAATATACTTACATTAATCCAAGGGTGTTGAAGACATTCATTAACCGTAGATCTTTTCCTAACAAAAATAGTAACATTTTGAAAAATACAAATTATTACAATCATGATCATGATTGTTTAATGCATATTGAACAGTTTTAGATAGCTCGATAGTATCCATGAGTGTAAAAATGATACAAAACTTTAAGAGATATATCTACGGACAACGTATTCTAACTATAAAATTTATGATGACTTTTGTTAAATTGTAAGCGCTTATAGACTACCATAAAAGCTTCTATTCGACTACTGCATTGAAATGGATGACCTTAATTTAGTGAAATCTATACAGAGCATTCAATATGAAAGTAGCAAAGATATCCTTGTCATCAATACTTTTACGATCACCACCATCATCGTTAACAGTAAAAATCTACTAGTTGGAAGCCTAGTTACAGTTCTTCTTCTCTGAGCTGCTGTTATTATGTTTACAAAAAGAATAAGTTGACAAAAACATAACCATATCCCTATTCATAAATTATCTCACTAACTGATTAATACTTTAAATACACTAAACGATCACAATTCTTACACATTGTTCTGTTCAAAAATATGCATTTCAACATACTGTACTGTATTTTCAAACTGACCATAAATTACTATGTTAGAATATTCACATTGCATTGCATCAATATAAAGTCAGAAAACAAAATACAAACTAACTGTACTTAAAATTCAACAAATTTGGTAGATAGAGAAGTCTCATAAATAAGAGACGTTGTCAGTTGAACATTTAAACGACTAACAATCCCATATTTTGTAGTTATTTTAATTTTTGATTGATAAAAATAAATAAATAAATGAAATAACCATTATTCCTCTTTGTATTGGTTGTTTGAATCTTCTCATTGATGTTTTGGACTGCAGTCTCTTATTGGCATAGGTGCATCCTGTGCAGTTTGCGACGGTATTGCCAATAAGTTACAAGTATTATAATCAGAGATGATATAATACAAAATTAAGGAAGTCATAATTGGATATTCTAGTTTTTTGTAGTTGAGTTCATGAGTCAATTAAAGCCAGACCACCATGGAAAGCTTGGAAGCACTGGACGGCTGTTTCGCCCTATTGTGCGACTCATCAGAAATGCCATCCACGATCCCACCCTCAGGATTGGAACCCAGGACCTATCGGCCTCACACGCGAACGCTCAACCTCTAGATCACTTAGCCGGCATCCAACGGTGTCAATGTCTGACTTTAACCAATTTAAATTCATTTATCTCTATCACTTACTTATTTGTTTTTGTTTCTTTTTCATTTTAAAAGTTTCACAATTATTTTTAATTGAAATTAACATAAACAAAGAAATTTTCTCTCTCTTCCTCTCCAGATAAATTGAGTAGTAATTTCTGATTAGAATTTATTTCATGAACCAAAAAATAATTTCAAAGAAATTCATCTGTTGTAGACTAAAGAAACAAAGTGTTATATTTTAGTTGTTCAAATGGCTTTATTGTTTTATTGGATAAACACCTATGGTTGATTTTTTACAATTGATCGATCACTGAGTAGTGACCACTATCATGTATGTCAAGTCTTTCTCAATGCTAATCGAATTCTATTAGTGTAGTTGTCGTGTGACCAATAGTCTAAGCAATACAACATCACGTGCACCATGTTAAGATATAAGGTGGTGGTCTGAGTTAATAGAAAAGAAACCCTGGAATCGCTCAGAAATAGGTATTTGTGCAGTATTTGACTTGTTGGGGTGAGGTGGGGTGGGCGAATAATCAGTAATATGGCTTCACAATCATCAACAGTTAAATAGTTGCAGATATATTATGCTTAAATTATTTCAGTAATATCTATTTTGATAAACTTTCTTATTTTTTAAGTATATTTTGTATGTTGTTTTATTCATCTTTTAAACAGTATGACAGTTTGAACTGGTAAATGAATTATGCTTGACAGTTTGTTAACTGAGGAAAACCTTTAGTAAATAAAAATAGAGGGATTATATTTATATACAACGGTAGCAATTAAGATAATTAGTGACATTTCAAATAATAAGCAACAATGAATGAAACACATACATACATTTATGTCTTAACACACATGCACACAGACATTCGTGGAATAACTGGATTCTTCTTCTTCTTGTTATTATTATTATTATTATTATTATTATTATTATTATTATTAATATCCTTTTTTATAATAACGAATGGAATGTGTTTAACATGACCTTCAGTCTAAATTCAATCAATAAAATAATTCTTTCGCCTTGATTTTGTTAACTATAAGAACAATGTGCTAATTTCGATATAGAAATTAATCAATTTAACAAATGTACACATGAATGGAATTTCTTTTATGAATGGGATAGACTGGTCATGTATAACAGAGTATGTGTATTTCGGTATGTGCACATATGTCTACGGAATTATATATAGTTTATTTTATCGATAGTCTAATGAAAAAAGTTATTAAGGAAAAGAGATCGTTAGTAGAAAGTAAACATTCCCATATGAAACAGTTTTTGTCAATCAATGTATTGGGCGAATTCGATCTAAACGATAGATAATCATATAATGAAATGAGATAACAACTATTGGATTCATTCATATATATATATATATATATATATATATATATATATATATATATATATATATATATAAACAGGTCTTTCAAGATAAAATTTGAATGAATAAATAAATTGTATGTAAAAGAAATACATGTTCATATATTTCACAGTTTAATAGTACATTTCGAATTGTAAAAGAAAAACAAATAAAGAAATTTAGAGTTAAAAAAAAAGAAATCTACAAAGAATTAAACCAAGTGAGATTGCATAAGATAAAGATAAATATTTGACACATGAGAATGAGATATAAAACAGTAACAACAACAACAACAGAACTGTTCCATTTCATTCAGTTGTTATATTGTTTCAAACTTTTTTCTTTTATATGTATTGATTCAATCAATTTTGTGTAAATGAAAAGCTTATTATAATTCATTTGAAGATAAATAAACCGGTAGAAATACATTGAATAACATTCAATTATGTAGAATGTTTTTTTGTATTGCAACTACCTTATATATAAAAACAAACATACACAAAACAGATCTGAGGCATAAATTCATTTAATAACCAAACTGATAGAATAGAACGATACAGATAAAGATGTGGATAAAATTTAGAAGGAGAATATTAACAGTAAATAAATTTTTTACAGTTATTATGTTAGTTCAAGAATTTTGTTTCAGCAAGAGACGTTGAGAGAGAGAGAGGGTGTTTCAAAACACTGAAGGACTACGAAAACCATTGTTCAGCGTATACACCTCAAAATAGTCAATAATTTCATGTACCTTGTATACATTTAATTTTTAAAAAAAATAAAACTTAATAATTCTTCTTGATTTCATCACATTCTACATTGCACTTAACTACATATAGAGAAGATTAAAAAATTCGGGATAATTAACAATTTAAAGACAAAAATATTTAGAAAAGAAGTTGATTTCAGATCTACAAATAGGAAACAATTCAGTACTACAAAACGTAACGAATTTAGTTTTAAAAAAAACAAAGAAACAAACAAACAGAATGATTAGAAGACGACGACAAAATAATAAAATTCAGTCAAAACACCTGTTGTATTTATTTACATATTCAACAAATTAACTGAATAAAACATTCTTTGAAGTTGATTAAATTTATTAAATGAGTATAATCAATAATAAGATCAAAACATTTATTCCACTTGATCAAATGACATTTCAATGACATCATGAAGAATTACTGAGATAGTATTGTACTGTGATAGTACTTATACAGACTAGACAGTAATTATTGATCTACATTTTATCAGTATAGAGTTGTGGACATTGTTGAGTTTTTAATTGAGATTTTAAACTGATCGATGTTAGACCATTATTGAAAACCTGAAAACGCTGGATAGATGTTTCGTTCTAGCATAGAACTCCACAGTGGGAATTAACACTTTTGGATCCCGACTCAGTGGTCTAGAGATTGAGCGTTCGTGTATGAGACTTAAGTTACTCGGTTTGAATCCCACGTGAGTGATCGTGGATACACACTGCCTGGAAGTCCCATATTAGGACGAAACTGTCGTCCAGTGTTTTCAGGTTTTTAATAGAGGTCTAATATCGATCAATTGATGATCTCAATTAAAAACGAAATTCTACTTTTGAATATCTATCGTGAATAAACAGAAGAAAAATTACAAGCCGATGTTGATTTTAAAAAAAGTTTCAATATCAAAATTAAAATACTGTTAGTTTTTTGTAAATGATAGCGAAATTACATGAAGAGTGGAATAAAAACGAGTAATCGTAAAACAGTCCATGGAACATCACTTGAATAGACTCATGTATATAAATGTAATACTATAGGACTGATAATTTAACAGTTAAGGTACTTAATTTTAAACCATTGCACCATAGGTACAAATTTTAAATCAATTACCTAGGTAAAAGACAACCAACTTGTATTATCACTCACACTTTTACACATAACACTAATTACATAAGACCTACATAACATATATATATATATATATATATATATATATATATATATATACGAGTATTACCTGGGATTTTTCACCAACAGTTTCTGAATAAAATCTTTAGCTAGATCACTAACATTTTGTATTTCCTCTCTTGAATAATCAACAATACAATCGAGAATATTTTGAAATGTTTCAAGTTGTGTATCTCCTGCAAATGGTGAAATGCCAGTTAATCTGTAGAAAAAACAGCAAAAGAGAAAGGGTAACAAAATATGTCAATAACGGTGACAAGGTAAAATAAATGACTATGAAAACAAATAATGTTCAATGACCCAACAAGAAAAAATGAATATAGTCTTTTTTTTCTACCATTGCAAAAATACATGGTTGGGACCCGTGATAAAAATTGATTTTAACTTAGCATTTGTCATTCCATGTAAAACTTGTCTTTGGCAGATACTTAGATTTGTTGATGCATTAATCATACAACAATTCAATTCCCATTCTGCGACTATGTGTGTTCAAAAGTAATATGTACTTATACTAACTCCAACCTGGCAAAAAATAGATTTATTATCCAAAGTGATGTAATTCATACTGTTTTTCGTTATCTTCAGATTTGTCAAATCTGACCTTTATTTTTCAGATCATATTGTTCAAAATGCGTTGTGCCCATATGTAACATAGTTCTGATAAAATGTCTTCTCATAATCTTATCTAACTTTATCAAAGGAACTAACTTATATGAATATTCATCAAAATTTGAACAAATAATTTATCAGAAATTAGGGCCCACAATATAAAAAGAGATATTATACATAAAAATTATATTTGAAATAATCTCAGCAACTGAAATTCAAATGATTACAAAGTTTCTCCCTACCAAACTGGTTTGAGCTTTTTCAGGATAATAGTCAAAATTATTAAAGAATATATAAACACACGATGAAACAATCAAAGTAATAAGTAGTATTCTTGAAAACAAAAGATGGAAGCAAGAATATCCACAAATGATGCGATCATATGCATATATATATATATATATATATATACAACAAATAAGTTAAAAGTGAATATGCATACTAACAGGGAAAATGAAACGAAGTAATAATAATGTGACAGAGTAACAACAACAAAAGAAACGATGAAACCCATCATATGACTTTTTTTATAAAATAAAACGAGGGAAACGGAAACACACCGATGAATAATAAATCTCAATAGATAAGAGAAGTATGTGGTATAACATAAAAAGAAAAACAACAACAGTATATTGCATCAGTTTCAAAATGAATGTTTATTACGGTCATTAAGAATATTTATTTGTAATGTAATAAGCGTCACAAGTGTATCTTATACACGAGATTATGATATTGATATATTCCAATAGGAATTAGTTACATAATTCATTATTATTCATATAAAGTTATTAATCATGTTGAATATTTTAGAGATTCTTAAGAAGATAAAATTAAATAAACATATTATTCACAAAATGTTCACTGTGTATATCAACAACATGAATTCCGGGGAAAAAATTAATTAGTTAGTTAATACTTAAACTAATGATATTATATAACTTTCTTTACTAATATTTGGATGAATTATACCCAGAAAATGAATGAACTCGAAGGTATTTGAACAACCTAATTGAAACCAACGATATTGAGTACTATATTAAACAATTCGATAAAATAAGATTGGTAAGTAATATGTTGTTAGATTGCTGATATTGTTACAATACTTAAGCATGACAACAACTGGTAGAAAAGTGGTAATAAGGATTATTATATCTCGCATATCAAGTTAAAATATTCACATTTCAAATACCGTAACTTAATACAATTACTATTAAGACATGGTTGAATTTTCAGAAATGAAACTTAGTGGAAATAGTTTACAATAATTATTGATTGTAGCTAATATGTGATAATCGTAAATTATTTAGATTTTCCTAGGATGAATCAACATTAATTTTAAATTCAATCAAACGGATATTCTCAATGTATTTTCATATTTATATCAATGTTACAGTTACAGTGATATGACGAAGCAAGTATTAAGCCTTGTAGTTAGGAATTAATTCCATCGTAAAAGGAGTAGCCTATAGTTGGCATAGATGACTTCCAGTCATGTTTATTCTTGTTCCCAATGTTTTGTATTTAAGTGTGCTATTTTTTTAATAGAAAAATTCTTTTGTACAGGCAGGTGTATTATCTTCCGGTGTCAATTTAGTTGGGAACTGATAGCAATGATTTGATCTTTTGAAGCAGCTATTACTCAGTAACATACTATTAAACCATTTTATCTATTGACCAGTATTGGATTCATTCATTTTAATAATCCAAAACTCATTCACTATTCATTATAAAATCGTAGTGCACAATAAATAAGTAAAAAGTTATACTAAATTTCAAGCAGAAAAAATCAAACTTTAGTTCCGCATAATGGTCTACTTTTGAAGACAAGGCAACTAGTATTAAGAAAATGAAGAAAAAACTATAATATGTGACAAGAAATATGATGTTTGCATGCAATAATAAAATAATGTAAAGTGTTTTGATGACAGAAAAAAAGGACATTTCTATTTTAAAGCTTTTATGAATACTAAGTGTCATTACCAAAGTTTAATTAGATATATGCGAATAAATTGAGTATTCGATACATTGAAATTATAATTGTAAAGCTCCATTGAGTAGAAAGTGAAATTTCTGACGTTTCATGACTTACTGTAAGCCATTTTTTTAATAGAGAATAAAAATAACTAATAAATTAGGTTGATGAAAGTTTAAATAGTCCAATAGGACACAAATTAGAATATATTTAATACAATTAAAATTGAAATAATTTTGATCATATTATTTCGGTTAAATTTATTCTGGGTGTAGTTTTACTTTTTGTTTGTTAATAGATGAATGAGTTGAAATTTTTGGAGAAAAAAGAAATCAATTCAATTTCATCAACTGTTCGTTCTAGAAATAAAAAAGGTTTCTGTTTAGAAACTCGGCGAGACTGTAATTTATGGACGAGCCAATTAGAAGCGTTTGGGGGATTTAAAGGTCACGGCGTAAATTTCAGTACCTGATGCTCACGTACGATCGGTTCACAGCGGATTTTTAGAAAAATCGTGATAATTGAGCGGCTAAAACAAATGGGACTACTAAGAAGTTACTTTATTTGTAATTGTGGCAATCAAATGACTTGTGAACCTTGTGCAGACTACCGTAATGATGTTGTCTTTCAATGTAATATGTGTTGGAGCGAGAAGTCTGCTAGGACAGGATTTTTTCGCTCGATCCAGATTGAGACTATGGCAAACTATAAAAATTGTTGAAAACTGGATGAAAAAGCGCAAGTAACACTGGCTAAAGCCGGGTACTACAATATATACAAATGATTGGAGTGCGTACAGATGCCTATAAAGACTTGGTTATGTGCATCGTATCGTTATCCATAAGCGGCATTTTGTGAAACTAACAACTGGAGTGCACACAAGCAATACTGAAACTATGTGATCGAGGCTGAAAGAGTTTTTACCACCTTACCATGGCCGTAGATGCAGACTGTTATGTAGCCATATGAATGAGTTCCTCTACTAAATGCATCACGATTTTAGAACGTCTGAACCTCTTCTTAACCTTGACAAGTTTTTTAACCATGTAAAAGTGTGTCCACCTTAATTCTTTGGTTTTGTATAATATATTTTTACTCTAGATGGTGGTTGGAGGTAGTCGACAGGAAACCCTGGACCCGGGTTTGGTGCTACTTGGCATTCGTCAGTAAAGTGTACCTGTAATCTTGAGGGAACTAGTGCTCCCTGACGGATTTGATCCCGTATCAACCAGCTTCACAGTCAGAGACGTTACTACCAGGCTATCCGTGCCGCGACCGACCTCCTGTAGAACTGAGATGTAATCACAATTGATTGATTAATGAGTGGACACCGATTCCCTCAAGATTACAGGCAAACCGTGCTGACGAGTGCCAGGTAGCACGGAACCCGGTTTCAGGGTTTCCTGTCGACTACCTCCAACCACTATCTAATCTCAACATAGTGCACACAGTGTCGAGTCACATAGAGTGGTTACCACATTGCAACTTGGTCGATAGCATTCGATCTGCGCTAAGAAGGACTTGACACATATGACATTGATCACCACCCAAATGATCAATCAATTGTGATATTTTTACTCTTTACTAACATTTCGGATTGGCTAATTTTTATCAAGGTCACTAAAGATTCGTTTAAAGGTCGTTCATAAATTACAGTTTCGACTCATTTTTCGAGGACCATTCCAAAAATAAAAAAGACTACACTTAACTAGAAGACTTAGTACCCCAAGATAACAAATTAAAATCCCTGACAGTATGACTTAATCTAAAAATTCTACAAATTGTCATAAAATTCAGAGCATTTCAAACCTATTTCTCTGACGACTAAAAAATTCACAACTTTAAGCGGTGTACTCCTTCCAGTTCTGTTTTTATTGTTAAGTCTTGAGAAATCAAACTATTCGGCTGTTTAGTCGTCTCACGTGTTGCTAGAGCCCTGTGTACAGACGACTTACCTGGATTCTCTTTGCCAGAAATCATTGGGACAGTGAATCGCGCGTTGTAAAACACAAGAGACCATATAAATTTTATTTTTATTTATCAAGATAGAGGTTCGACTGTTGTACCGACTTTTGGTTATCCTCGATCTTCATATCTATCATTAAAAAGCTCTATCCACTTAAAAGTAGCTATTTTTTCTAACCTATTATCTCTATAAACAGCTCTTAAAATCTAATGGAATTCCTAGGAGTTTTTATAGATTTTCACCTTTATTAGCTTAGCCCATTCATTTTCTAGCCAGAATGCATACATACATTTTCAATGTATTCACTTATGGAAAACAACAATGACAGGACATATGCATCAGGCAAAAGATACGCCTTAATACATTTTACGTGATATCCCACATATATATGGGATATACATATGCAAAATACTAACAGGTGCTGTGATGATATCAGGGTCATGAAATTCTTGAGGGTGAAAATAAAAAAAATCGGTAATTAAACTTTAAATAAACATAAAAAAATGCACACTTCATTTATTTGATTTTTTTTATAGAAACAAATAAATTATAGATTATTCAAATAATTCTGGAAAAGAAAAGAAAAATCTATCAAAACTTCAAATTTGACGGGATTTTAATAAAAATAATTATCAGAATGGGGGTTTGTGGAAGT